CCCCTGGTCACTACAGCCCCGATCATTCCAGCCCCTGGTCACTACAGCCCCGATCATTCCAGCCCCTGGTCACTACAGCCCCGGTCACTCCACCCCCTGGTCACTCCAGCCCCTGGTCTCTCAAACCACTGGTAACTCCAGCCCCGGGGTCACTCCACCCCCTGGTCACTCTAGCCCCGGGGTCACTCCAACCCTGGTCACGCCAGCCCCGTGGTCACTCCAGCCCCTGGTCACTCCAGCCCCGGGGTCACTCCAGCCCCGGGGTCACTCAAACCCCTGGTCACTCCAGCCCCTGGTCACTCCAACCCCTGGTCACTCCAGCCCCGGGTCACTCCACCCCTGGTCACTCCAGCCCCGGGGTCACTCCAGCCCCTGGTCACTCCAGCCTCGGGGTCACTCCAGCCCCTGGTCACTCCAACCTCTGGTCACTCCAGCTTCGGAGTCACTCCAGCCCCGGGGTCACTCCAGCCCCTGGTCACTCCAGCCCCGGGTCACTCCAGCCCGCGATTCTGCATTGGTGGAACGTTCTTTTAGAACAATCTTAGGGGGTAGAAAATAAATTCGATCCCCCGAAACGAAATGTTGGACACAGTAAGAGCAGAGCGTACAGCTCAGGGATGCAGGAAGGCAGGTTTGTAATGTCCGTGCTCCAGGCTCAGGAGCAGCCGACACTAAACCCTGGCCACAGTGATGCCACTGCGGAAGTTATAACACTAACGTTGTCACTGGACCTCATCTTTTCTCTAACCCAGTCTCGGCCTTTTCGGAATTTAACTTCTTTGTCAGATTTGAGGTCCATTAATTGAGTGTCATTGCCCGAACTCAGGAATTGTATCGTTATGGCGTATCTCTAACAAATGCCATATTCATTTTATTTATTTTACAAAGAACAGGTTCAACTCGATTCTTTCCCTTGTAAAACCTTGGTGTTACACAGATTCACCCCAATCATAAATTGGCTTGTTATTTTGTTTCTACATTGACGATTTAGTGTTGGGAATATTCGGGATCACTGATTAAACACTGTTTACGGCTTTGTCGCTCTTAACCCATTGAAAATTAACGGGTTAATTCTTTGGGTAAAAAGCGTTTAAAGCAGATTAACAATCTGTCTGGATAGAAGGACGGGGACATCTGGCAATTAAAACGGTCTAAAATTGTTCGTCCCGCCTTTCCTTTGAAAAAGCGAACTCATTTCTTGAACCGGTGCAGCCCAGATAGCGTGGACCCACAGTACTGTTCGGGAGAGAATTCCAGGTCTTTGACCCAGCAGCTGTGACGGAATGATGATACAGATCAACACTAGTGTTTTAAAGTTAAGTAAGGGCAGTAATGAGAATATGAAGACAGAACTGGCTAAGGTGAACTGGGAAACTAGGTGGCGAGAAGGATCATTAGAAACGCAGTGCCAGACATGTAAGGAGATGTTTCAGAACACTCAGAAAAGTTACATTCCATTGAGAGAAAAAAACGTTCTAAGAGTATATCAAACTGAGAAGTGTCTGAGTGACAGATCAGAAGAACAGCAACAAATAAGATTGATAGGGAGCGGGAAATTAGAACAAGACAGAGAGATAACTAGAAATATAGCAACAGTTAGAGTTTCTGTGGGTATTTTAAACGGAAAAGTAGGTGTTATGTGAGTGTTGGACCTCCAGAAAGTGAGCTTGGTGAATTACTTGGTGCATTTCTCTTCACGATAAAGGATACAAAAAGAATCAGCTATAATTGTGAACCAGAAAGTGAAAGGGATTTAGGAACTTACGATTATAATGACCAGGGAAAGCGTACAGAAAAAATTAAGAACTAAAATTTGGCAAGTTCCCTGTCTGTATTCAATTTTGTCCCAGAGTATTCAAGGAAGTGGCTGCTGTGATATTAGATACTTTGGATTTTAATTTTCCAAAATTCTCTAGATTCTGGGAAGGTCCAATTGAGTTGGAAATAGTGAATGTGACTGCTCTATTCAAGGAGGAAATAAAATGCAGAAAACTATATGGTGGTTGGCTAACATTTGTTAAGCAATTATTAGGGCAGTTATAAATCTTAGTGCAATCAGGGGAGTCAACATAGTTTTATGAAACATACCATGGACTGGTTGGTTAACAGAAAGCAGAATGTGGGAATAACTGAGTTGTTTTCAGGTTGGCAGGATGTATCAAATGGTGTGCCACATGGATGGATCAATATTGGGGTCTCAATTTTTTGCAATTTAGCTCAATGAGGTGGATGAAGGAACCAAATCAGTGGTTGCTAAATTTGCTAATGATACAAAGATGGGTATGTGAAGAAAACATGAAAAGTTTGTAAAAAATTGGGCAGTTGGTTTGTAATGTTGGAAATATGAACACATCCACTTTGGCAAGAACAATAGAAAAGCAAAGTATTACTTAAATGGACAGATATTGCAGAAGAATGTGGAGCTGAGGATTATCAAATCAGCCATGATTTCAGTGAATAGTGGAACGGACTTGATGGGCTGAATGGCCTACTTCTGCTCTTATGTCTTATGGACCTGTGATTTAACTCTGAGGTATAGAAGAATCTAGGGGTCTTGGTGCATGTGTCACAAAATGTTGGAATGCAGGCACAGCAAGTAATTGGAAAGTCAAATGGACTGTCATCATTTATTGCAAAGGGGATGAAATATAAAAGTAAGGATGTTTTGCTACAGATATATCGGGAATTTAGTCAAAAAAATGGTTGTGAAGTTTGGCCCCCTTGTTCAAGAAAGGTTGTAAAGAGTGGTCCAACAATTGCAGGCCAATCATTTTAACTTTGATAGTGGGAGGATGTTCTGGAAGCAATTCTTTGAAATAGAATTGCTTGTCATTTGGAAAAATATGGATGAATTTGGAAGGGTCAACATGGATTTGTTAAGGGAAAATCATGTCTATACTAACTTGCTGGGGTTTATTGATTTAGTAACAGAAGGTTGATGAGGGAAAGGCTGTTGATGTGAGTTACATGGAATTTCAAACAGGTTTTTAATACACTGCCATACAACAGACTTGTGAGGAAAGTTATAGATAATGGAATAAAAGGGACAGTAGTAGTACGGATAAAAAGAATCAGCTGGGGATAAGAAACAGAGTAATGATTCATTCTTCAGGCTGGAAAAAGGTTGTAGTGACATTTTCTAGGGGCTAATTTTGAACCTTTGCTATTCCTGATATGTGTACAGGGGACAATTTCAAAGGTTGTGGATAATACAAAATTCAGGAGAATTGTAAACTGTGAGGAGGACAGTAGGGAACATCAAAAAGATTTGTTGGTGGAGTGAGCAAATAGGTGGCAGATGAAGTTCAATATGAAGAATTTTGAAGTCACGCACTTTGATATGAAGAACATGGAGTGAAGTATGTGTAGGAACAGCAATACCTGTACTTAACACATTACGGTAGCAGGATGGGTAAAGAGAGCTGTTCATGAAGCATACAATATTCTTAATTTCATTAATAAGGGTATGGAGTATAAGAGCAGGGTGGTTCTGATGGACATATATAAGATACTGTTTAGACCGTAGATGGAGAATTGTGTAAAGTTACGGGAACCACAGTATGGGAAGAATGTGAATGTATTGGAGAGAGAGCAGAAGAAATTTACCAGAATAGTTCCAGGATGAGACACTAAAGGATAGTTTGGAGAAACTGGGACTGTTTTTCTGAAGGGGAGAAGACCAAAATGAAATTAGATAGAAGTTTTGAAAATCATGAAGGGGTTTGAGCAGAGCGCCTAAGGAAAAAAGATCTGTTCCCACTCATTAACAGATCAAAAACCAAAGGGCCCAGTTTTAAAATGTTTTGCAAATGAAGTAAAGGTGAGAGAAAAGCTTTTGCACACGGAGAGTAGTTAGGATCTGGAATGCATTGCTTGGAAAAGTAGTGGAGGCAGGTTTAACGGAGGCATTCAAGAGATAGAAACTAAGTTAAAGTGCTCAGACAGCCAATGCAGACATGATGGTCTGAATGGCCTCTTTATGTACCATAACAATTCTGCAATTCAGTGATTCTGCATTGGTGAAACTAAACTTGAGTACAATGGACAGCTATGGTCTTATTAGTTAAGAAAATAAATAAATATGTTAGATGCAATTCAGAAAAGATTCACATGCCAGACATTTGGGAAAGGGACGGTTACCTTACAAGAAAAGGTTGGACAGGTTAGGACTGTAACCATTCAAATTTAAACGAATAAATGATAACCTTATTGAAACATGTAATATTCTGAAGGGACTTGACAGGTTGGATGCTGAAAGACTACTTCCCTGGTCTTGCATCTTTTAGATGGTGCATACTGCTGTTTTTAAAGTGGAGAGAGTGAAGGTTGAAAGAGGAGAATGATGTGCTGATCAAGCAGGCTG